TAATGAGAAAAATGACTGGGACATAGCAATACCAGAGTTCATGGATTGCAGGTTAAAACTTACAAGGAAAAGTTAAAGGAACTTAACATGTATAGCTTGGAGGAGAGACGAGACAGGGGGGATATGATAGAAACATTTAAATACATAAAGGGAATTGTAAGGAAACCAAGTATATTTAAACCTCATTCTGTAGTTTCCTCCCGAACCGCCAGAGCCTTAGTGATTATAGCCCTCCGTTCGGTAGATAGAATAGACAAACCATATAGTAATCCCAATAGCTTCACAAGAAGATTCCCTTAGTGAAACACACGAATCCCCAAACATCAGCCGAAGTCAAGAAGAAGGAACGGAACTACCGAACGGACGGCCACCCAGAAGAGAAGTGGGCTGCTGGTTAACCTATTGATCCCAATTAGAACATTGCGGTTGACCACAGACACTTCTCAATTAAAACCGAATACAGGGTGGTCGTTGTTCGTATGTCGACCACGAGGCGGCGGCCATTTTAACTATGCGAAAGCCCAGCGGTGCTCGATTATTTCATGGAACTAAAAACGGACACTTTTTCAACCGAACACTGCTGAAGCCGTCGACCTCCCCTTCTCAATCGACAAAAGTATATGAATACCGGCCGTTCGAGAGATTTAAAGACACGAATGGACTTAACCCAGATAGCCTTCCCATGGAGTCAATCGCATACCGAAGAACTGTAATAGACTTTGACTCCATGGCGATTGAACTGTGCGTATGGGATCTAAGCGCTATTCGCCAATAATATGCACTCAGATCCAGGCTATCTGGGGATGTGCTATACGAATGCAATACGTTCAGCAGTTATAAAGTTCTGTATTTTAATGTGTTTTGTAACTTTGAGTTAAAATGGCGATTTGCCTCTGCTCTGGGAGATAATTGAATTACTTCCCAATTATCTACCGAGCAGAGGGGAGGAAACTGTGATGCATGCTGGGAATATTGTGGGGATGTATGTCTGAAATGTCCCCATGTCCTTCTGTGATTTCAGTCTCCCATTTGGTCCCCTAGGGGAGTGTCCACCAAGTGGGAGACCTGCATAAATACGGGCAGGTAGCCCACAGTAAATTCAGTTTGTGTTTTACCCTCAAAGCAGAGCTTGGTCTCGTTATTGGGGGGGGATTTTATTACCGGCGACTAGAGACTGCTTATTGGGAATGTTTGCCGCTTGGAAACTATTGCCGTTCGGCTGCTATTGGCGATTCGTGCATTTGGAGCTCGTGAAGGGAAGGAGCCGTACAGGTACCGTTCGGGAGTTTGGAGTGTTCCCTAACTGGCGTTCGCATGGTTTTACTGGGAGCATTCACTAAACGGCGGTTTGTACATTTATTACTGGAGGTACCGTAACATCGCTTATCCGCTCTACCACCTTAAAGGGTCGCCTGCAGTTTGTCTTTCTTTGCGGGCTGTAGGGCCCTATTTCTAAGACCCTATCTCTGGCGCCCCTATTATACCACGTCTTCTGGCATTCCTGGGCCGCCCGCAGATTCTCCCAAACAGATTCAGTGAGAGCCCGCAGTCGGTCCCGGAATTCCAGAACATTCTGAACAATAGGGATCCCCCCTCATCTGTGTTGCCCTCCCAGTGCTCCCGTACGAGATCCAGGGGGCCCCAAACTTTTCTCCCGAACAGGAATTCGAAGGAGGACAACCCAGTGGAAGCCTGGGGCACTTCGCGGTAGGCAAACAGAAGATGGGGAAGATATTTTTCCCCAATTCATGCGGGACTCTGCAAAAGTGTCCATTGGTCTGGGGGTGATAGGGAGCGCTAAATAGGGTTTTCACTCCACAGCTCTGCCACAATTGCTGTGTCAGGAGGGCTGTGAACTGGGTCCCCCGATCGGATAGGATCTCCTGGGGAAAACCTACACAGGAAAATATTTTGACCAGGGCCTCTGCCACGGTCTCCGCCTCCATGTTGGCAAGAGCTACCACTTCGGGGTACCTAGTGGCGTAGTCCACTACTGTGAGGATGAACTTTTTGCCAGACTGACTGGGGCGGCTGAGGGGTCCTATTAATTCCACCGCTACTCTGTGAAACGGTTCTTCTATAATGGGTAACGGGTGGAGTTTGGCTTTCTGGTGGTCACCTCTTTTCCCTATCTTTTGACATATGTCACACATTCTACAATAATATTTAAGATCCTGGGTGACCCTAGGCCAGAAGAACGTTAGGGTCAACCGGTCTCTTGTTTTCTTAACCCCCAGATCTGCTGCTAGGGGAATATAATGGCTGAGCTTTAATAACTCAGCCCGAAACTTACAGGGTACTATTATCTGTCTTTTAGTGACCTGAGTGGCCCCGTGTCCCACCCCTTCTGTCACTCTATACAGTAATCCCTTATGCCATTCAAACCTTTTGTGAGTGCTGTCTCCCCTGGTAGCATCTACTGCCTTTCTATACCCTGCTAGAGTGGGGTCTGTTTTCTGCTCCTTTTCAAACCCCTGGGGTGTATCCCAGAAAGTGGAAGGGGGGGTCGGGTAAAGGGGGTATTTTAACTCCTACCTGGGTTTCCTCAGAGTGCAACGGTGCTTCCATTCTGGCTTGAGCTTGGGTGGTAACCGGGTAGGTTTCGGAAGGAGTGTCTCGTGATAATTGAGAAGTTAAGCAGCCCACATAATTTCCCAACAATACTTCGGCTGGCAGTTCCTGCATAATGCCCACCTCCAACTGTTTAGATCCCGAACCCCAGTCCACAAGGACGTTAGCTGTAGGTAATTTGTGTATGGCACCTCCAGCTACTCTTACAGCCACGGTGCGACCGGTGCGAGTCTGGGCCTTGACTGTGTGTGGCTGTACCACGGTTAGAGTGACCCCAGAGTCTCTCAAAGCTCAGGCCCCCACGCCATCTTCTGTAATCCACTGACGGTGGTGGTCCCGGTTGTCGCCCCCAGCTTGCACTGGATTGACCTCGTGTAAAACACTCCACTGTTCTTCTTAGCTAGGGATGTAATATATACTTTCCTGCTGGACACAATGGGCAGCTGCCCTGGGTTGTTGTGGGGGTTGCCTTTCCCAGCTTCCCCGGTTCAAACGAGGGCACTGGTTTTTGTAGTGTCCCGGTTGCTTGCAATAATGGCACACTGCAGGTGGTCGTGGTGTTGCTGCTGAGCTGTGTGGCGGGTTACTTAGGGGAGCTCTAGGTGGTGCAGATGTTGTTGGTGCTGGATAGGGGTGCTTAAAAGCTGGCCGGCTCGCCCCTTGTTCTCGCCTCGTGTTGTCCTGGTGTTAATCTGCCAATCTGGCTGCTTCTTCCACAATTTTAGGCTTCCTGTCTTTTATATCGTCCGCTGTGTAGTTAAAAAACTGCTCCAATAGTATGAGCTGTAAGGCATCCTCCAGGGTAGTTGCTTGGCAGCCCTGCATCCAATTCCGGGCTGCCCTGTGTAGCCGGAAAGCCCATTCAGTATGGGAATCCCTCCCCTTTTTCCTCAATTCTCTAAACTTCTTCCTGTTTGCCTCTGGGGTTACAGCATATCTGGCCAACAAAATGTCTTTTACCTTGTCATAATTGTGTATGTCCCCATCAGGTACTTCTCGCAACGCCTCTGCTGCTCTTCCTGATAGCTTGCTGCTAAGTACTGCAGCCCATTTTGTGGAGTCTAATCCCTCCAGTGCACATTGACGTTCAAAGTCTTGTAAATAACTATCAATTTCCATGTCATTGTCATTAAAAGTTTTAAATGCTGCATAATTTACCTCCTTTGGTAGGTCATTTGTACTTCACGGGGAGTGTAGCAAATCCCCCTGTAACGGTTTGTCTCAGTCCTCTCGCTCTTTTTGCGATTGCCTGGCTTGTGCCATGACCTGCAGTACCGCCTCTGTTGATGGATTGGGTCCCAATACACTGAGCATCCTTCTGCATCTCAGTTTCTTACTCGTGCTCCATTTCTGTATTGCTGTTCCGTCGCTCTGTATTTATTCTGCAGTTAACGTGGCTTTTGTCTTATTACTTGCCACTACGCCTCGAGCTTCCAGTAAATCCTTTAGCGTGGTTCTCTTAAGTAGCTGATACTGCTGAGCCATTCATTCCCTTTCTTGGTTCAGAACGTCCGTTCGGGATTCGAATCCCGCTGCTTGCCACCAGTTGTAAGGAAACCAAGTATATTTAAACCTCAATCGGTAGTTTCCTCCCAAACCGCCAGAGCCTTAGTTATTATAGCCCTCCGTTCGGTAGATAGAATAGACGAACCATATAGTAATCCCAATAGCTTCACAAGAAGATTCCCTTAGTGAAACACACGAATCCCCAAACATCAGCCGAAGTCAAGAAGAAGGGTACAAGATGAACTAACTTTTAATGGATACACACAGCTTTTATGCAAGGGGACATCCCTCAGGGAAGGACAAATTCACCAATCATATACTGGAAAACTTTAACACACACCCACAGTTCCCTCCCCTAGCCCTGGAGATAATTAAGTCTGATAAAAGAATAACTTAATTATCTCCGGGCTGAAAAATCACTTTTTTCCCCCAATAACTGGATCACCCCTTTATACTTGGGGTATCCCCACAAATAACATGTCCCCTGATAGCCCTGATCTGGGTAACCAACATATTCGAATTTCACCCAGATCGGTTCAGGGGTTCGCAAAAACTATGGATGTCTTCTGTGACCGGCTCACCCTGGGCTGTATGCCCAAAACAGTTCCATGAGTTTGGTGGGTTTTGCCGGTCACTTTAGAAATAGCAGAAAAGCGAACAAAGTAGCGAATGGATCCCTCTGGCTCCTAGCAGCGTTCGTGCCCCTCTGTCGAATGCACCAAAGTACCAAATAGCGCTCTTCTAGCTATTCGTTAAATAGAGTTCCAGCGTTCGTCTGTTTGAGACCGGTGTTCGGGAAGTAGAGTGTCCGTTTTCAGTTCCATACACTCGACGACCAGGTCCCGCTGCCTTTGTTCGCATGAACAAAGATGGCCGCGGTTTTCTCTGCCACATGGCGTTCAGCTGTACGAACGCTGGCCGCACAGACAGAGGTAGCAATTGAATCAGTTTTTGATGTTTAACGAGCCAGAGGGGTGGTCTTTGTTCGATAGTTACATCTACCGAATGCAATGGGCAGAAAGTGTAACAAAAGGGGGATTTCTTCACAGGAATCAACACAGTAAAGGAGGAGACTATATTTAAAAGAAGAAAAACTACCACAACAAGAGGATGTAGTCTTAAATTAGAGGGGCAAAGGTTTAAAAATAATATCTGAAAGTATTACTTTACTGAGAGGGTAGAGGATGCATGGAATAGCCTTCCAGCTGAAGTGGTAGAGGTTAACACAGTAAGGTAGTTTAAGCATGCATGGGATATGCATCAGGCTATCCTAGCTATATGATAAGGCCAGGGACTAATGAAAGTATTTAGAAAACTGGGCAGACTAGATAGGTCGAATGGTTTCTTTCTGCTGTCACGTTCTGTTTCTATGTTATGCACAGGCAGAACTTCAAAGAATGACAGTGTGGAAGCAACCTGCCGTATATCATTGGCAAAAAAACAGGTCAGTGATTGGCCTGAGAATGCGTTAGCAGGTAGGTACACACAGGAGTCAATGATTGGCCTAAGAATGTGCTTGCAGGTAGGTACAGGTGATTAGGGGATATAAATGCTGCTCGATTCTCATTGAATTAGGGGCCCTGATTAACCAATCGTCCAGGATGTCCCCTGCACACCATTCATGCTAAAAATACATGTTGTATTGCCGAATTCAATTATCATTTTATCACATGACTTGAAAAGATGAGAGATACAGAAAAGAAGAACTTATTCCACAGCTCTATGTTATTAAGGGGGGAATTTAACAACAAATGAGACAAACTATTAAAAATGTTGACGGTAACCATAGGTTACATAGTTACATAGTTACATAGCTGAAAAGAGACTTGCGTCCATCAAGTTCAGCCTACCTCACATTTGGTTTTTGCTGTTGATCCAAAAGAAGGCAAA